GATAATAATTAATAGAAATCTCCCATTGTTAAATTTAGTTACGCTTTAATTATATTCTTTCTTTTTTTTTTAACACTACAATCAGAATGATCGAAATGACGAGTTCGAAATTTTTCACTGAAATTTCACAGGCTATTGTACAATATATTTTCTAGTATCTATGAAACCTCTTTCTATTCTGTGATGCAAGTTTTGTTCTTACAGTGTTATCTCTAACTTGTAATTTAGATTTAGAGTTCCAACTAACTTCTTGGAATTATCCGCGATATAGTGGTACACGTGCGTGACCATATTCTGCGTTTGCCGGAACAGAACGTCAATTAACTTCTGCTGCCAAATCGAGCATTCTTCGATGATGGCGCCTTTCAGCCGATCCGCGTTTATGTCGAGGAAGTGCACAGTCATCACCGTTTCTTGCATCTGAACGCTGTTCGCGATCATTGCGTATTTGCTGATATCTGAATCGAACGTCTCCGCAGTGGGCTTCAATTTCTCGTATCTAATCGCAGATTTTGTTAACATAAACTGTAAGTATTTAATATAAACCGTAGTATTTTCATCACATTATTAGTTTTCAAGATCATCTGACAACTATGGTTCAAAAAAAAAAAAAAGAAAATATATATATATACATGTAAATGTACTTTTTTTTATTGAAGAAAATACACATTTTCGAAAAAAGCAATAATCTTAAAAAATCGTAGAGAAAATAATTTGACGAAAAGAAAAATTTGCCTTTCAAGACGTCTCTTCGTTGGAGCCATTTAAATTGTGCTATGAACATTTTTGAACGTGTTATAATAAATGAAAGACAACCTTTTTTAGACACTCTGTATTTTTGCAGCTTTTGAAATGGTTAATCATTTAAAAACGTATCTCGAATTAATCGTGTTCGAGTTTACGTAAAGTTGACTCGATCCTGTTGAACAAATTAAATTAAATTTTTGTTTTCCAAACTATCGTTGGATTTCAATGACAATTTTTATGCTAATCTAACTAAATTTCCTGCAGTCCTAAATCTAAATAATTAAAAGAATAAATGATTTTTCTGATTTTCTCA